TGCGCACCACCACACCCAGCCAGTAGGTCGCCTGTTTACTGTGTTGTCTCCTTTACTATGCAGCATTTTAGTTTGATGCAATCTCACTTTTTTTTGTTGTTGCCAGTGCTTTGGTTGTCATATCCAGAGAATCACTGCCAAGACCAATGTCATGAAGCTTTTCTCCTGTTTTCTTCTGGGAGCTTTGAAGCTTCAGGTCTTATGTTTAAGTAATTGAGTGAAGTGTTAAGGGTCCAATTTCACACTTTTGCATGTGGTTATACAGCTTTCCCAATACAATTTGTTGAAGCGACTATCATTTCCACACGGCGTAGTTTTGGCACCCTTGTCAAAGATCAGTTGATCACAGATGCGTGGATTTACTTCTGGGCTCTCTGTTCGATTGGTCTGTATGTCTGTCTTTACACCAGTACCATACTGTTTTGTTCCTGTAGCTTCGTAATACATACTGAAATCAGGAAGTGTGATGCCTCTTTATTCTCAAGATTGATTTGGCTATTCAAAGTCTTTTATAGTTCTATATAAATTTTAGGATTTTTTCTATTTCTGCTAAAAGAAAATGCCACTGGGATTTTGATAGAAATTGCATTGAATCTGTAGAGAAGAGTGAGTTTTAAGGTTGGGTAGTCAGCAATGTTGAAAGCTAAAAGCCAAAACAGAAATTAGAAAGGGTCACAAGACTGTGTGACTTAAGAGGGCATCAATATCTCATGAGACATTTTTGTGGGGATGCAGAGGGAATGTCATAATTCAGCAGTCAGAATGGTGAAATTTATGAGCTACTCACTCAAAGGTGAAGTTGCTTTGTATTTTAAAAACAAGGCCGAACATTTAAATGCTTATCTTTCAATGTCTCTGATTTGAGATTCAAATATACAAAGTAATCTACTAAAGTTTTTCTCTAGCACTAGCAGAGGGAAAAATTAACTCTTTAAGGCAAATATTTTGGCATATTTTATAGGATATTAACTGTCCTGAAAACAATTTTCCTCTACTGAAAAGATGACCCCCTAACAGTCATAAACTTTTCCCCTTCCTTGGGGGAAATGATTAACACATTGTGACTGCTCTATTTTAAGTCTATGACTTGTGTCCTTTTCCAAAAGACAA